TCAACGTCTACTCCGACGTGCGCATTGAAATCGCCCATCAATATGAGGGACTCTGTATTCGGCACTTCAGTGTTAATATGAAGCAATATTAATTTTGCAGAAATATATCTTGCTTACAACTGATGTCATTTTATGAACCGGTAGGATTTGTATAATTTACTTTAACTCTACCTTAGTAACACGAAAAAATATTTTAAAATTTTCAGGAAAAAAATCCTTATAATGGCATAAAACTGGAAAGTCGGCGTACCGTAAAAGTTTTATGGGTCACAAGAAGCAAGATTTAACCTGCAGCTCATAAATATTTTCTTGAATTATGAATGAATTTTTCTGTCATTGCATCAGGGGTTTAGTAACGAGCAACAGTGAAATAGCTACTTCACTATTAGAAGAAGGATCCGCAACAATTTGACATATCACAGTTGCAAGCTACTTATCAAATAGGTTCCGCTTCGTATCATTTCTTTGTTTGATTAATGAACCTTCATTCAAATTGAATTTTTGCATTTGTTTCAGAAAATCTTTATGCCTTCCAACCTGATCATCCTTGCTGGCTTCCTGAAAAAAGTTTGCGCAGTCATACAATGAAAGATGTTCTAGTTTCCTGAATAAATAAAATTAATTCAGATGGCCTTATAAACCATTATGCAGTACAAGGTATCAAAGGCACTTAACGATTGGGACTGCCTGTATAGTCTGATGAGGGCCGTCTATTAAAGAGACGTTCCTTACGTGCGCATCGTATCGTTCGCAAAGAATAAGAGCTGTCAGGATGATGCATGCTTCATTTAATTTATTGCCGATTTCGATTGTCTGATTTCTAAAAAACAGAGAAACAAAGATCTCTAAGAGATGCGGAGAAAACCCATCTTGTGACGAGGCATATCCATCAGCCATAAGAAATTTTATTGCTTCGTATGCTTCTTTATTCGAAATATTTAGGCTTATGACAACCTACGCTGTCTGACTGAACAAACCATTCTCGTTCTTATCGTGATATTCTATACCTTGCTTTCTTAGTTTGTCTCCAATGGTATACCACATTGCTAGCATATATGCCAAATTTTCTTCTCATATGCCCGAAACTACGGAATTTGCATCCAGTAAGCTTTGCCGCAACTTGAACTACTCGGAAAAAACACATCGTACGAACAAAATTCGTAAGCGATGGTTTACATTCACCCTTCTTGTTAGGCTCTGCGTAACAGCGAGCGATTGGGTCTCGCTCTCGTTCCGCTACACGATGCCGATGTAGATCAGTGGATCCCACTGTTTAACACCAAGATATCTGACCTCCAGATGAATGACATCCGGAGAGGATCGACATCGCCTGATGGATTTGCGACACTTGCGAACGTTATAAAGAGACGGCAAGCTAGATGTCGTCATTCTAGGACTTCGCGGTACCTTCTAGCTAACTCAGAAGCCCACATCCACAACCATTGGGAAGATAGCTTGGAAAACGGATGGCAACTTCACTGGCCGGGAACCTAGGATTGCATAGGCGAGTCAGAAATTGTGGTAATGACCGTCTTCAAGAGCAGTGAAAGTGTTGCCCTCTCGAGTGCACGACTAGCCTATAGCTTGTCTACCGTCTTGCAGCAAAGCAAGTGAAGGACGACGCTGTGACGCCCATACAAATGTTGGGAACGATCAAAAGAAAAGCGAGTTCCACGAGTGGTTTGCACACAGTTTTCGGTTCTCTTCAAAATCATCAATTATAAGTAGGTCGGCCTGAACAATTTCAATTGGCATCATGTCATGGATAAACATGGCTGCGGATATTGAATAAGAACGGTCGACGGCTGCTGGACCTTCGGTCCAAGCACGGACTCGTTCTTAGCGATACGCCGTTTCCCCACCATCAAATCCAGCAGCTGACCTGAACAGCACCAGGTGACTGTTTCATCAGCCAGCTGGACCATATATTGATGAGCTAGAAAGGATGAAGTGCCCGTCACAGCACTCGAACATAACGCGGAGTTGATATTGATTCAATTTCATTGTGGATGCAAAGATCTGCCTTCAGTTTGATGAATCCTGGAAAATAACACGGGAAAAAACAAATGTCAGATTGACCCTAGCAAGTTGAAAAATCCAGAAACTTACGCTTGCTTCCAAGATCAGATCGACAGAAAATTTACTGCTATAAAGGATATGACATTTCAGGATTGCGAGTTGCCGTACCAACAGCTCAAATAGGGTATCGTAGGTGCCGCAGCAAATATACTCGGTCTAAGCAAAATGACTAGGTACCCTCACTCTTCACCAAAGAGAAAACGCTGCGAAACAGGAGTTTGACAGAACCCTGAAGAGACGAAGAAGCGAGACAATTGGCACCTCGTGAAAGCAGTCGACATGAGTTACCACAGTGGAAAAAACACTGGATGGAACTTATAGCGCAGAACCTGGAATAAGCAGGTTTAATGAAGGACTGAGAGACACTGTATAGACAAGTCAACCTCATCATTAGTAGCTGATGATGACAATAACATACAGACCATTACTGCCTTATAGCATCGTGATTTCTACGGAATTGGTTATGTCTCTCGAGGGTGACCCAGCTAGGTTTTTCTGCTTTATACTTTGTTCTTTCCTTCGATCAATATTTTCTCCTGATATGATATTTTATTTTTTCGAATTTACCAACATTTTTTGATCGGTGATTTAGTTGGGTTCTAAATTTTTGCTTTCATTCATGATGGAGCGAACGCGCTTCAGTACTACGGATTTATTTAGTTGTAGATAATTACTCGATTTAAATAATACGACGGCATTGTATATTTCAGAGTCAGTGGCTTAGTGGATTGCTAGTTTGCTGTGCCCTTTGGAGTTGCTGGACTAAAACAGCAGGTATGGCGCAACGTTTCTCCTATTAACTGATAATTCCGTTGGTCAAGAAATTCACCCAAATTTGTTTAACTGTTCAGCGAACAGCAAGGACAGCATGGTGGTTTGGTTTGGTCATACCAAATCCTGCCAGCCATACAGCCCCGCTGTCTAACGCGCGTACTATTTGGCTGCAGCTTGCCTTGTCCTGCCTGATGACTGAGAATAAG